GCTTTGATGCCATTCCACTAGTATGTAGTTTATTTTTAAAACATTATTGGAGGTATAGCTCCCCTTCTGTCTTATAACTGGGCAGTAATAGATGTCAAATACAGACTTTCAGATCCCTTCCACCTAGATTAACAATTATTACAGTTATGGACTGAAGGCCATAAAATAGAAAAATAGACCCCATGCTACTGTAACCTTCAAAAATGCCTTAATTGAGCCTAACTCCAGCCCCAGTAAAATAAATATATATATTTTTATTCCATTTAGCAAGTTTGGGTTTAACAGCCTTAAACTATCAATAAAACTTTTCAGGGGAAAGTTCACACTGGAGACAGTGGAAAACCTTCCCACCAGAACTTGTTGAGGTTCAGCATCATCCTGCCCTTCCACACCTTCCTATCCCTTCCCTGCAATGCTGCTGAGGCTATCACCCCACCCAGCACGAGCTCTGGGAGAACGTGTGCACAGCAGAACTGAAGTTCACCTGCAGTGTAGCTTCCATTGCAGGGCTGGGGGAAAACCCCATCACCTAAAAAGCATTAGGACCATTATTTTCAATTTCCATTTAGGAAGTACTCTCTGTTTAATTTTTTTTACTATTCACATTTTTACTTTCTATTATACGGAAAAGGAATTTATAATACAGTAGTTTCTTAGTATAAAAACATTTCCATTTTTCATCCTCGGGAATGAAATAATGTAAAGAAAAAAAATGAGGTGTTTCATTCAATTTCTTGAAAGAAAAAGTTATTTTTTTGTAAACTTTTTATAGGATGCAGTGCTGGTGGCCATGTAAAGCTTCTAAATAAAAATAATATGGGAGCAATTGAAAAAAGGTTAACAGAATATTCTTTGGTTTGCTCAAGACTGTCAATGTCTAAAAAGCATTTGGACAATGTATTTAGTAACATGCTTTAGCTTTTGGTCAGCACTGAATGGCTGGGCTCTTGGACTAGATGATTGTGATAGGTCCCTGCCAACTGGAATAGTCTATGCTATTACAGAATAACATTTCCCTCCACAACAATATTCTAAATAATTTGAACTGTCCCAGATGAATGAAACAATATGCAAATATAAATATTTTCTTACAAAGCAACCAAAATCTGTGGAGGGTTCCAAACAACCTTCTGCTTTCTACACAACAACTGAAGTAGGCACACAGCTTTTCTTCACTCTTATTAATATACAGGGGAAAGAATACAAAATACCTGCTCTGCTTCATATTTTCCCCACAGACATTTCTGACAAATCCCAAGAGAACACAGGAGGTTCAAAGCTCTACTAAAGTGTATATGAGCAACCAACATAGTTATCAAAATGAACTAGGATAGAGGATAGAATGAGAAATAAAATTAGTGTGAGTCAGACTAAATACAGAAGAAAGTGCCAAATTTATGGCTCGGGAATTCTGTGCTTTTCTTGTGGAGAAAGAAAAATAAAAAAAGGAAAAAGAAAGCAGTCCATGCTCCCAGCCCTGTCCCTTACAATGCAGAATGCAGTCCACAAGGTTTTGTGGACTCCTTGGGGCGAGAAAGGCTAGTGAAGCACGTTTGCAGTTCCTTCCCTGGAGCTCACAGAAGGCCTTCACCACCACTTAAAGTCACTTAGCATTGCCCGTATTTCTTCTGTGTTCAAAGCTGACATATAAGCAACCCCAAAAGAGTCTCATAACAACTGTTTCAAGAATTTGCTTTCTGATATTCATGCAGCCTGTGCCCGAGGGTTCTTAGTGTGAGCTAACTTCTCATGCAGTCCTGCTGTCTCCATGCTGTCAATCTGTCACTTTATCCTCCTGCACATATTAGTGGGGTTTAGAGGCTTTTGACCAATTTCATCTGCACTGACAGAGTATAAATATCAAATTCTATTAAGTCCCTACAGATCTTTGATAATTGTTAGAATAGGATAGATGAGAAAGATAAAAAGAGAGACATACAACTCCTGGATAGAAGAGAGAAATAGAAATTGGAAGTCCTTAATCAGAAAGAAACTTTATCCAGATAAAATTTGAGTCTAATCCACATGCGTGCAAGTGCACAGATGCCACGCCAAACTTGGTCTCTCCCCATCCAAAGACATGGTAAAACATGAGAAGAATGTGGGATTATTTCAGGAGAGAAAGGAGTGGAAGAAATACGGGACACTAACGTTAGATGTAATAGAAAGTGGATTTCATTAGTACTACTCTTGAGAAATTTCTGCTCTAAGGGAGTTTAGTTTCTCTCTCTCGTGGTATGGATCAATTTTCATAACAATGTGAGTTCCATTTGTTAAACATAACTAAAAGATAATTCGTTAAACTAATTCTCAAAGAGATTCCAATCATTAAAACGGCAAGAACTGCAAGAAGTCCCACATGAAATGCACAACAAAATTTAAGTTGGTAAAAACTGTATGTTATTAATTTACTTATATTTATTTAAGGCAAATTCCTCAGCTAGGGCTGGATTTGTAATGGGGGATTTATATCAACAAAAAATGTGAAAATATATACCAGTGTAAATACTGATTTTGCCAGTACTTCACTTACCCCAAGTCTGTATTCTAAAAATACACTAGTTCTCAAACAGCTGTAATATAATAGCATTCCTTTTAATCCAGTTTAAGCAAAATAGCATTTTTCTAGTACAGTTAATAAAGCTTACTACAGTTTTCCTACCATAGCTCTACCTAAAATAAAGGCAAGCAAAGCAAGTATGGTACAACAATATTGCTCCAATATCAATACTGAGATATTAAGAATAGAGAAAGAAAGCCAACAAGAGACCTATTACTGAAAAGCAGACAAGAAAAGCCAAAGAACTTTTATGCAATTTAGTATTTGCACAATAGGTAGCAAAAGCACACCAATAAAATATCAAATTAAATTTTGCACATATATGGAAGCAATAAGCATTTCTGGCATGCTGAAAATTTACCTGAATTATATGAATAAAAGCCTTTATCTGGAAAAAAAATATTGAAATGAAGTAGTGTCAGGGAAAAGTACATGAATCAACACATGTAACAGGGATGATTTGAACCTTAAACTTTTTTGTAATTGCTGCCAGAAATGGAAGAATTTGATACAGTAGGCCACACTTCTTCAAAATAATAAAACTCAAGCAGCTAAGAGAAATTAAACCACAAAAATGCCAGTCACTTCTGGATCAACAGTTATACATAATAGCCACAAAGATCTGGTAAAGCAATTTCAGTAATTTCCAATTCTGAAATACAATTGCACATTTTTACTATAAGTGTTTAACTTTTTTAAGGGAAAAATGCATATTCAGCTAGGCATACGATATGAGGTGCTACCCTTAAAAATATTGCACACTTCTGTTGGCACTGCAGCACTAGCAGAACTTTCCCAAGATGTAGTTTTGAATCCTACTTTAGATTTAACAGACTCTCAAGTGATATGCCAGTCAATCTTCTCCCTCCTGCTAGGCCTTGATTTGGTAAATATGTACATACCTGAGAACCCTAATTACATACTGTAGTTAACAGTGAATTTTAGAATCCTGATATGAGCTCAATGATTAAATACTTGGAAGACCTGATTTATTGTTTGCATTCCTTAAGTCTGACTGGTTTATGTATTTTAGCTTTCCATACAATCATACCAATTTTTCTAAACTGAACAAAATAATATTATGTGAATACCTAGACAATTCTGGAAACATGAAATGTTAATTGCATTTGTAGATTTTGAAAATATGACGTCCATAAGATGTCATAATACAAAGAAGTCAGGAAGCCAGAATAACATTAATAATATCTTGTCATTAGAAAGATTTTATGAATATTTTTATTCCTTGTAGTTGACAAGCTCACAGACACCATATTAAACAGAAGAGTGACAGTCTAAGTAAATGATGCACCTCAGATGATATGATATGACAGTGTTAGAGAAAATTTCATTTTCTTGCCAAATGGTGCTGTTAATGGATTCACTGGATGACTAAGTGCCTTCTGGCAAGTCACACTTTTTCTGACATCCAGGTACTAACTATTTTAATATGTGGATCATATTACTAAATCATCTGCTACTTACAATTTCTAACTCTCTATATGTTCAACTTCAGTTTCTTGATAAATGCAATACATTTTTATGTCCCAGAGCCAGAATTCCATTAGGCAATATAATTTCAAAGTGAATGGTAGGGTTTTTTTCAGCATCACCTACAACCTTTTAGATGTGATTTATTGTGTAACTTCTCTAATATTTTTATTCCTTAATACAAATCTCTTCCAGTTATGAATTTAATTTAAAAATGACAGTTATTTGGCTACAAAAATATAAAAAATGTCATTTAGAGACTTTGCCTAGTTTACCCTGACATCAGGTGTTACCCAAACACCGAAGGTGGAAGCGTGCCACATGCCCTCAAAAAAAATCGATTAACACAGTCTAGAAATTATTCATATAGTTAAAAATTATGGGCTTTCTGAATTTAACTGCTGGACAGATCTTTAAAAGGGTTGAGCTTCTTGAAGAGCAGATGAATATAAAATTAGTGAGATTATAATGGGATCGAGGACTGAAAGAGCCATGTTCGTTTCTGTATGTTCACAGCACAGAAAGGAAGAAGTCAGAATAGTATTAAAACCACCTGAAAACTACATTACACAACAGAAGAGTAGTTTAATAACATGATTTTATCAAGTAACCTTGATAAATTTTATCAATTATCAAGAGAAATAAAGTCATTCTCTTAAACTGCTTCAAAACAGATTTTAAAATATTTTTGTAGTTTACTTACAATTTAGTAAATTAATATCCTAAATGAGCTTCTTTTATTAGAAAAAGAAAACTATTTTGATAGTTTAAGGCCTTTTTAGACATCCCTGTATCATGTTAAATACCTTTNAAAGACATTATTGGCTTTACGTAATTTTGTAAGATCTAACCAATTCATTTCCATTTTAAAAGTCTGGAGATTATTGCCAGTATTGGTACGAGATCAATACCACTTTAATTGATATAACTGCATAGTTAAACAAGAGTTTACCTTTGTGGGGGAGGGACACTGGGAGACCACGATCTAGTCCGTCCTATACTATCTCCACGGTGAGGGGACCCTGATCGAGAACAATGATTAGATGACATTACTTGCTCTGGCACTGATAGTGTTGAACTTTGAAGATCTCTCCCATTATGTCGGTAATCTAAAAAGAAATGCAAATATTCAGTGAATCTGAAGTTGTACTTTTCAACTGCCTGCCATATCTGTAGTAGTGAGAAACTCAGTAAAAGATGGGATTTGATCAAGAATGTTATCACTAGTTCTTGGGTTTTATAATAAAACATACATAAAGTTGACTCCTGTTGTTATGCTTTATCTAAGTACAATTACAGTTCCTGTAGTTATACTTTAAAAGTATAGAAATTTATACCATGCACCAAACTGGGACTTACCATTTATGGGTAATATGATGTATTAATAATTAAACTAATTAAACTCATTTTTCCCTCGAATAAAAAAGGTCACTATTGCATTTTTAATTAAAATTATATTGCAAATGTTATTTGTAATGTTTTTGAGTAGAAATGTCCATAATTAAAAATTAATCCAAAATTTAGTTTACAAATTTGGGTTTGGAAGGTAATATGGAATTAAATAATGAGATTGGCTTCAAGAAAGATTTGTATTTCAGAAACAATTAAAGTAACAATGACTCAGTGACATTGGATTTAACTCACAATTCTGAACTAAAAAAACACAATTCCTTCACAAATAGGCTAATCTTGAATAAGCCTAATAGAAGGCATAAATAGTCTAGGCAAATGCCTCCAAGTTACACTGGCCTGAAAAGCTACCACATGGACATTTAACATAGACTTTTAATAAAAATATTTTTAAAAGGCTGGATGTATTAAAAGTGATTGTCTTAATCTAATTGAAAAAGTTGAATTCACTGTCCTGTGGTGCAATACTCTCTGAAAAAAAAGATGCTAGATATAGAGCAATTTCAAGTAAGTTTCCCCAAATTTTGTGAGGATGAAATTAAAACACAATGATAAGAAATTGAGGATTTTCAATTGTTAACCTGATTATAATGCTTAGCAGGAATAGGTCTTCAGAGAGTTCCTGGTGGCTATGACAACTGATATAACTGATTTCTTTGTTCCAAAGACAGAAACCAAGTCAAGAATACTTAGATCTTCTGGCTCATTCAACTGTTATTCTTTTCCCATGAGAATCTTCCAAGAGTGTAATAATCTTCTGCTCATGATTTTTCTTATTCCTGGAAAATGTTCATTAGTACCTAAAGAAAACCTTATGAATTCATTCCACTTTATGATTCGAAGAATGTTCAGTATTTTCAACTGAGTACTCATATTTGCTTACGGCCTTACAACCAAGGACATCTATAAACAATCCTAATTCATAAATAACTTCTTCCTCCTATGTTTAGGTGTAAACTGCTTTGTGTGTATCTGGTATGAGTACATAAAGGGAAAAAAAGCACATCATCATTACATTACACTAATATAAGGATGCTGAGGATCAGGTAGTCTCTCCTCACTACACAGCAGTCAAATCATTTTATGTGCATCCTCAGTTAAGAGTCAGTAATGAAATAAAGATTTTATCCTATATATGAAGTAAATGTATTATCATAGGCCCTCACAAAACATATAGGGGTCAGTGCAACATAATTCTGAAATCACCAAAGGCAAGATGAGGAAATTTTATCTGTGTTTGAAACAGGGTGTTATTCACTCCCTAGTAAAGTGTAGGAGATAAAAAAATAATTTTTTTGCAAGTTAGTTTGGAAGTCAATACAATCTGCAATTCTGCAATACTTTAACCAGAAGTAAAAGAGCTAAAGTAACAGTAGTGGAAATCCCACCCTGCAGCAGACTCCTGGCAGGACCTGTGGACCTGGGGAGAGAGAAGGCCACTCCAGAGCAGGTTTGTGACCCACCCTGGAGCAGCTGGCTCCCAAAGGACTGAACCCTAAGGAAGAGACTCATGTTGGAGCAGTTTGTGACAAACTGCAGCCCGTGGGATGAACTGACATTGGAGAAGTTCATCCAGGGCTGTCTCCCATGAGAGGGACTCGGGGGAAAGTTTTGAAATTTCAGGGGGTTATTTTCTCATTATCCTACTCTGATTTTATTTGTGATTAAGTAATTTCTGTGAGTTGTCTGTTTTGCCCATGACTGTGACTGGTGAGAGATCTCTTCCTGTCCTTATCTCGACCCACAAGTCTTCAGTCACACTTTCTCTCCAGTGTCCAGCTCATGAGGGTAGCGATGGAGCAGTTTTGGCAGCCACGTGGCACCGAGCCAGCGTCAATCCACCACACATAAGTGAGCAGCAAGTTATTATGAAGTTCTAGATATTGAAATAAAAAGCATGATTTACAGTACAAGAACACAGAGAGAAATATTGTCTCATTATCCTAATAATGCATATCTACTGACAGAAAAGACAGAGATGGTTCTTTGTATCCTGCGTACACAAGGAGAATTTGTTGCATTTGGAGATGGAAAACAATGTCTGGTTTGAAACAATGTAGAGCAGCAATGTGAAGAAATAGGTAAACCCTTTGAAAAAATCAGCATTTTATATAACATTTGGTATGTACAGAAATAGAAGTACAGGGGGAATGAGCAATCTCATAAGGTTTTCTAAGTGAATAAACATAATGAAGGCCAAGGTAATCAATTAACAAAACACAAACAAAAATCTTTAAAATTCAAAAAAATAGTCTAATATAAAAAAATAGTCAAAGTCTAAAAAATTCCTAGAAATGAGATTTTCAGTAAATCAAAATTATTGAATTAACTAAACCTGCACATAGAAACATATTAATTACTTTAGAACAAAAATCCTCCTCCAGCTGTAATTACTTATTGTAGTTGACCACTTGTGCAGTATTGCAATAAATCACAGTAGTTGACCACTTGAGCAGTATTGTTGCAATATATTACTTTTGAATTAACTGTCAAATCTAATCCTGATCAAATAAGTGCTTTACATTAATTTGGAGTTAGACACACCTTTTGGTAATTAACACTGGTACTGCTTCCTTATGATAATAAAAAAGGCAGAAACAATCAGCATTCCTAGCAATCTTGATAAATTTTGATAAATTTTTGCTTTTGAAGAAAACTTTTTACTTTTTTGAAGAAAACTAGATGTGTTTAGCTGTGATCAAATAAATAGATTAATATTGTCTAATAATATTGCTGCCAGAAAATAAACTTTGACATTTATAATTCATTTACGTAAAACAAAAATTATTATATTTACAAACCCCTCTATTGCCAACAGGTCACGCATTGAAAGGCGGCTGTTTGAGTAAGACAATCCACCAACATGGATTAATGAGGTAATTTGAAAGTTATCCTTCAGTTTTGTAGAGTCAGTGTAGCTCTGATTTAACTGCCTGTACTGTAGGTATGATTTAACTTCCATTTTCAAAAATATTGCACATCTTGGAAACTACATCAGAGAAGGGAAGTAAAAACGTTTTCTTGTGAAAAGAAATTATAGGCAGAAAAGACAGGTTAAAGGTGCAGCTTGACCAATGAGTTGCTATTGAGCAAAGCAGATAGTTATTTATAGCAGTAGCAAAAATAGGATAAACATTATCCTGCTTGCAGCTATAAATATTGAGTCATTACCATAGAATCAAAGGCTCTATAACTATGGCAAGCCTCTTAAATCAACATAGAGAGTACACAGAACCTGATAATCAGTGTAGAGATAATCAGTGATAAACAACTGTGAGCTGCAGACACTTAAAAGACAGACACATGACAAACATAACTGCAATGCCACCACCTTCTCCTTTCATGGGAAGGTTTCATTAAAAACTGATACATATGAAAAGAGGATTTTACAAAGCACAAAAAATACAGCTTCTTCAGACCTGAAGTTTTAGTTTTATCTGATTTAAGAGAGACTATTAATATATTTGACCTAAAGTATTAATCCACACAGCATAGCTGTACTAATATTATGATATGCAGGGTACATGTTCAGTAAACACTGATGATTGAATTGTTATTAAATTACAAATCTTGCAGCCACAAAACTGCAGAAAATCACAAACTTCCCAATATTAAGTTCACGTCAACAGCCCTAAAATAGCCCTAAAAATAATTAATTGAAGTGTACTAATGAAGATTTTAATTTAGATGCTTTGCTGCTTGATTTACTTGAAAGAAGCTCCTTGTATGGAAATTGTTCTAGAAAGGCAGTACTAGAATGGCTGTTCATCACAGGCAACATAATTGACTTGTTTCTGACACTGATGCTAAGTGATGTTTTCTCCACTTTAACATTTGTACTTGATTGAGACGTCAAGCTTTCAGATATTTAACTTTTTAACACTCACAGTAGTTGGGCTTAGAACAAGCACTAATTAAAAACAATTATATAATCAAATTGCCAGAAATGCTTAACATACCAATATTTCACACATGGGCACTTTGGAGAGAGTTCAGTTCTTTTATATAAATGTGCTCAGCTTCTGGGGTGATTTGAACATCTAAATGAAGAATTTAGATGTCCTCTAAAAAAAAATTGCTGACAGTCACCGATCAAATAAATTGAATTATTGATATCTAAATACTTTATAAGTTAAACATACATTATGCATTGCTTTGGGAATTTTTTTTTTTTGTTTTTTGTATCAAAACATTATTTTGCAAATATGGGAAGAAGGAATGTACAGTGAAAGGAATCAGCAAACATTACAGTAGGAGCAACTGGTTACTTGCTGCATAGCAACTCAGTTCCTCACAGGAACATTTAGCTCTACAGCACTAATTGTATTTATGGGTCCATTACACCTGAGACAAGTCTTTTCCTATGGAAAAGCATTCCCACACATCAATAAACTAGAACTTGCTGAGTTTTCAGCACTGTTCCTACACCCAGCTTGATGTGCAAAGCTTGGGGGAAAAGCCCCAAACCACCACAGGTACTATAAAGATGTTTCTTCTTAGTTAAGCACTCATCCATGTCTATTTGCATCTGTCCACAAAGTCCCCAAAACTAGCCTCCTCTTCACATCACTGATTGGAATTTATCAGTCTTGTAGCATTTCCTTCTTAGAAGTGTTCTTCACCACAACTGTAACCCACCCCAACCGGCCTTTCCCTTATGTGAGAAGCATCCACTAAGAGCATCTCTGATTGGGATGCA